CACTGCCTGAGATCTGTCTGACTGGCATTTCTGATGATGCTGTCTGTACTCCAATTGCAAGTCTTCAACTCCAGCCAGTCACTCGACAGCAACACAGACTGCCTTACCACAGTCTGATCCTCCGGAGTAGTTCGCCATTTCACGCGTATTTGTCTAGCCAATTCGCTACAAGGCCTGCAACAAGTTCCCCGATTGCTTGATGCGACCCTGCCTGCGATTGGTATCAATTACAGGTCAGTGACAGTTTTCAGCTTGCTTTGTCCTCTGCACCTTTCCTCCTTGGGATTGCACTTGATATTATCCATGGCGTGCTCGGCCTTTCAATATCCGCAGGCCAGCAGCTCTTTCAATGGCCAAACAAGCATGAGCAACTCGCCTTTTTGTCCCACGTCCATCAGTCTGTGGCCGCCCTAGGCTATCATGTGCAACGCCAAGTACCTAGGACTATTGACGCATGAAGAACAGAGAACAAGCAAACAAAACAAAAAGTTTGCCGATCCAACTTCAGGGACCTTGCCATTGACAAGGTGGCGCAGGGTTGAGTGGAAGAAGTCCGATGGATGCAATCAAGGCTGTTTGTCTTTTTCAAATACTTTCATGATCACATCATGTTCCATCATTGCATACAAGAAAGTGAATATCATGGTTCAGAATGGCTAAGTTGGTAGGGTAGTGCTCCGGGGTACACGGGCCGTTCTTAGCATCTGCAAGACCAATGTTTGCTGATGATACATGGAAAGCACTATTTAACAGTACCAGACATAAGGCGGAGGACAATTACCTTCTGTGGCTCTCTGAAATCTCCCCATTCTGTGCAATACAGGACCGCGGTTGTTCATGTTGCCGAAGCTAATGCTTCGCTCCTTTCCAGGTTGGTCCCAGCCTGTTCGCACTTATATTGCGGGTAGTAGTTTATTGATGAGCACTGGCATAAATGACCAAGATACCTAGCCCAAACTATTATGCCATATTCTGTTCCAATATTCCAGAAACTAGATACACGTGTAATAAACGCCCCTTGCAGATTAAAGACTATCTCTGAAATCGACAATGGTACATACTGTCATAAGATGAGGCCCGCCACAGAGGTTGTACTGTGTTAGCCACAACCAACCATAAATAGATAAATGTAAACAACAACAAGAAAAAACAATAACAACACCACACCACACCACACCACATCCAAAACCCAATGATCTGCAGAATAAACCTGCCGCTTTGCCTGAACTTCTGAAGAAAGCGGAGCCGCTGGCCGCCCCTTACTTGCAGTTACTGAGGGGGTCGGATGAAACGATTGACCTGATTTGGTGAGATTATGCCTCCGCCGTCGCCGAAAGTCATGGGTATCGGAATGTTTTTCAGTCGACGAGCTTTTCGATCAAGATCCGAAGAAGCGCTTGCGTCTGATAGTGGGGCTCAGTTCAAGAGCTAGAGGCATCTTGGACTTGGAGCATCTCTCGCCTCAAGGCGGGCACCATTCAGATGTTCCAGATGCGAATTTGCACTCACACCAAGTTCCCAGAAAGCCACAGGCAGATCCTCCTCGTGTTGAGGCAGTGGCCCGCGGTGCAGAGAAACTTAACTTGCACCCCTGCTCTTGGCGCTCGCTTGTCTCGATAAGGCTGGCTCGTGGCCACTGGAGATATCTTTTGCCTGGCCCAATACGCTGACAAACATGTGCTCAGCCCAAATCCTCGTGAACTGGTTTCCTTGACCATTGGCATCGGGTTGTTCCAGAGACCGAATTCATCTCAGGAACTCTCGCAACTCATACCTGAAACGAGACTGTCTAGAAAAGCGGGGTTGTTTCTTCTTCCCACTTCCTTCAGAGTTCTCTTGATACTAGGATATCCCTTGATCTCTGGTGTTTCTCATGCATCTGGCTGCAGATGCAGTTGGATGGATATGAAGAGGAAACAACTTGAGCATGTGAACCAGTCAACTTGCCATGGCCTTCATTCAGCAATCCACTCGCCTGCCGACATGCGAACATCTTTTGAAGTGTTCGTCAGCCAGTCGACACAATGCATTTTCTCTGAGCATCAAGTCCAATTTCCACCAACCATCCTCAAACGGCAGCTAGGCTTTAGACAGACGTGCCTAGTGCTCACGATCAGAGCTGACGCAATGCACGAACTGCTTTTTCTGGCGATAGCCCTAAACTCAAAAGCCGCAGTGTGCTTGCCGACAGCCACATATTGAATAGGGACAAACAAACTCTGGGCTCTCTTCGCGGGGGCGGACAAGGGTCCTATCTTGAGGCTCTCTACTCTGTAGGCTCTCAAGCAACATGGACAACTCCAGACTGGAATGCTGGACTTTCCCCGCAGAATAGGGAAATAATTCCGAGTTATCATGATCGCCGTGGCTTCTGAGTCAATGGGCGATTTGCTTCAGCCATTGTCTCATATCGGCCCTGACAAACGTGAGCATATAGTAGGAGGCCCATGACGGACGAGGCGTCCAGCTGCCCACGCGCCTGGGACACTGTCACTCCCAAGGAGCTAAGTTGGCATTGTCTTATCGAGTCAATCTCATGCCGGCGCAAGATTGCTCGTCTTAACAAGTCTTGCGAAGCTACACTTATATGCTTTTGGAGATTCAATTTACGCCCTTGGACAAGGGGATCGCACATGTACGATGACAATCTTTCACACTTCCATCAGGGACAGCAATGTCTACACACGTACGATGTCCTGGCCTCTGGGACTCTAGACTCGGGGCTAACTCTTGCGCATTTAAACCAATTTGCTGTGTCTTGTTAAGGCGCAATGGCCAAGCCATCGCCGAGCCAAGTGGAGGTAATAGCATTGCAATGTTAGAAATGACGTTGAATGGGCCATGTCCTCGCGAAACGGTGGCGCCGAAAGTCCACAATCTAGAGGCTCAAGGCGCCCACAATTGCCGGAACGCCGTTTATCCTTTACTTAGCAACTTGGCAATGTCCTTTACGAGTTGGTCAGTGATAGCTGGCGCCAGGGGACAAGTTGGTGGTAGTTGTCAATCCGCTGGTAAGACAAAAAGACGTTATTGGTCTCACAGAGCCCCTAATGTTTATTGTTGTTGTGAGTGGGGAATGTGAATTCCTGGTAAGCATCCATCAGTGGAGGGAGGACACCAGGATATCGTCAGAAGTGAATCAGCTGATTTCTTCAGTAAACATTCCATCTCCAGCTAACTAGGGAGGTCTGTTGCGTGACTCTGGATTGGGTATGTAACTTGAGCTTCCATGTAGAAGGGCCTTGCATCGATCTCCCGTACCGTATGTACAGTAATGCACATGGTTATCACATCTGATCGCCAATGCAGTGTTGTGCAGAACAATGCAGGCGCAAGATCAGGGCTCGGTCAGCATAAAAAACCTAGATCTGAGTTAAATATGTACCAGGGTTCAATTTCTGTCGATTGGCCGAGTTGTGCCAGCAGGCGAAAAAAAACATCATGAGATGAAGTTGACGCGTCGCGTCAATAACCCCTCTTCTTACCTTACCGTACCTCACTTAACTTGACTTAACAAAATAAATACACAGAGCTATAGCAGCTTTCTGCACTGTGATTGGTGTTCCAGGTTTGGAGCTGAAAACTGTAATTACTGAAACCGGCGTAGAGCTAGGATTCGTGGCAACTGGTTATTGCTGAGTTCAACGCCGGCGGTTTCAATAGTCAGCAACCACATTGATAACCGACCTCCGAGGCACTGCATCATCGCCGGGATAGCCCTGTAGACTGGACCAAGATTTGCTCGAGCGCTGTGTCTTGTCGTTGTTGATAGGTTGGTTTAGAGGTAAGATGAGAACTCAATGGACTACGAACGCTCAAGTCGTTCTACACATGCAGTTTCTCTCTGCATAAACGCAACTTATCAGCGCTGGTATTGGGTCACGGGTATGCTAATTGCAGCATGCATGCATATCCGTTGTTTAATTTGCCCGTGAACAGGTTTTGTGAGAAACCTGTAATTATTTCGACATCCCACTCTTGAATTAGAGGCCCTTCACCGCCAGTTGGCCTTTGTTTGATAACCTGATCCTTCTAAATTTGGAGTGAATAGCTGCAATCTAACATCCGTGGTTTATTAGGAGCCTATATCCAGCTCTACAGGTCAGGTTTCTTTCCGGGTCCAATCAGTCTGGAGGTGCTGGCGAACTGGTAACTTTTCACTCGTATGGATGGATGCCCCTGCTCGCATTTTGATATAGCCTCCCTCGGAGATATGCCCTTTTCTTGTGTGCTCGAGCTCCCGTGTCTTGGGTTCTTGCTATCCGCATGACCCGGTTCGGGAAAGCTATGACTCCCATTCCCTTCTCCATCTTCTTGACACTTGCAAACATGATGCGGTTAGCTATAGGTTAGGTCGCTGCGATTCGGACAGCTTTTCGTGGATTGAGTAGAGTGGCAGAGTGCCTTCTCTGTCCAACTTTCCACCTGCTGCAGAGCTCATTAAATCAGTCGTTTTGTATTGAGTAGTGTCCGAGTTCCAACCTGAATTCTGGACCGGCTTAACATATCTTGTGTGCCTACCAGTGTCATGGTCGTTGTCACAACTCAAATTTAGCTACTTTGACAGGACGCCAAGCTGTGTTAAATGTAGCCCATTTACCATGGCTATAACCAAATTAGATTATCATCATGAGTCAGTCAGAGACAAACTAGAAGTTAAGATGAATATGCATTCCTTAAGTGATTCATGATCCAGTATTAAAATTTGTGGATTAGTTATCGCTACATCCGTAGTATTTCAGACACCTACCCTGGAGATGATGATGTCGGCGATCGGACATCAGACTTCCGTGATGGATCCGGTATCTACACCCACAATTTTCAACGACATCTTTGGCGGGGCATCAAAGGTAACGACACTGTCAAGCCATTCAATCACAGTTTGACAACTCTGTGTAGCTCGCTGGGCATACTGAAGTTGTAAATCGCATAGCAGATTATCAAGGGGCCTCAAGTCATTCGCTCTTAGCCCAGCTACCCCATCGTCGAGTCAGCGCATCATGGAGGCCGATATCAGAGCTGTGCTGCCGCACATCGACCCCGTAGTCTCCGAGTACTCTGTGGGCTACCTGACCCATGCGTCAACTTCCTACCTGGACGAGGAGGATGCATCTGGCGAGTCACCACTGAACGAGGCTGCTTCTACCATCACCGAGCTCCTACTGTCTGCATCTGGCCAAGTTAATGCTGAGCTGGAGGAGAAGATCAAACAATTGGTCGAGAAATGGGTTGACAAGTACACAGAGGCCAATGGAGGCCAGAGACGAGGACCTTCGACTGTCAAGCGTCTAGACCAGACTATCCAGGTGAGCCAGCAGCGCAACATGTCGTCCACTCTAGCTGTGGCGACCGGTGGCGTGGACCTGGAGTCTGCAAACGCAAGGAAGGTTGAATCGAAGGTCGATCGCAAGAAGCTTGAGAAAGCAGAGAGAAAGATTGCCGCCAAGCAGCAGAAGAAGACCTTCAAGACAGTCGAGTACGAGGCATCCAAGCTGCTTGACCAACCCGAGTCGACCCAGTCATACGAAGAGTTCTATATGGCTGTCAACCCTCTGCAAATGGGCTCCAGCTCCGCAAACAAGTCAAAGGATATCAAATTGGACAACATAGATGTGTCAATCAGTGGAAACCGCATTCTTACAGACACAACGCTCACTCTCGCATATGGCCACCGCTATGGTTTGGTTGGTAACAACGGTGTTGGTAAATCAACACTGCTTCGAGCTCTGTCTCGCCGTGAGGTCGCAATTCCACTCCACATATCCATTCTGCATGTTGAACAAGAAGTAAGTCTCTGTTGAATCAAGAAAGACTATTGCTGACAAGAAAGATTACTGGTGACGACACCCCAGCTATCCAGGCGGTTCTCGACGCCGATGTTTGGCGCAAGGTTCTATTGAAGGAGCAAGATGTAAGTCTGCCTTCCAGTCATAACGAATACCCACTAACGATGACAGCAAATCACGGCTCGCCTGGCAGACTTGGAGAAGCAACGTGCTTCTCTGGCCGACACATCTGCTGATGCGGCCAGAATTGATCGTGATAGAGAGGCCCAGGATACCAAGTTGGGAGATGTTCAGTCCAAGTTGGCCGAAATGGAGTCAGACAAGGCCGAGTCACGAGCTGCTAGTATTCTTGCTGGTCTTGGTTTCTCGCCAGAGCGACAGCAGCACGCCACCAAAACCTTCTCTGGTGGTTGGAGAATGCGTCTGGCCCTTGCCCGAGCACTGTTCTGTGAACCTGACTTGCTTCTTCTTGACGAACCGTCTAACATGTTGGACGTTCCTTCGATTACATTCTTGTCCGAGTACCTTCAAACATACCCCAGCACCGTCCTCGTGGTCTCTCACGACAGAGCGTTCCTCAACGAAGTCGCCACCGATATCATTCATCAACACTCTCAGCGTCTCGACTACTACCGTGGAGCCAACTTTGATACCTTCTATGCTACCCGTGAGGAGCGTAAGAAAGTCGCCAAACGAGAATACGAGAACCAGATGGTCCAGAGAGCCCATCTGCAGGCATTTATCGACAAGTTCAGGTATAACGCCGCCAAATCTTCAGAAGCCCAGTCCCGTATCAAGAAGCTGGAGAAGATGCCGGTCCTTGAACCCCCAGAGGCTGAGTACAGCGTCAAGTTCACATTCCCCGAGGTCGAGAAGCTATCGCCCCCTATTGTACAGATGTCTGAAGTCACTTTTGGTTACAACAAAGACAACATCTTGCTGCGCAATGTTGACCTGGACGTCCAGCTGGATTCCCGAATTGGTATCGTCGGACCCAACGGTGCGGGTAAGACAACTATCCTGAAGCTCCTCATTGGTAAGCTGGATCCTTCTTCTGGTCTGATCTCGCAACACCCTCGTCTCCGAATTGGATTCTTCGCTCAGCATCACGTCGATGCCCTCGACCTCAACGACAGTGCTGTGGGTTTCATGTCAAAGAATTATCCGGGACGAACGGATGAAGAATACCGCCGACGACTTGGCGCCTTCGGTATCACCGGCACAACGGGCCTACAGAAGATGGGATTACTTTCTGGAGGTCAAAAGTCTCGTGTTGCTTTTGCTTGCCTAGCCCTTACGAACCCCCACATTCTGGTTCTTGACGAACCTTCTAACCATCTTGATATTGAAGCCATGGATGCTTTGGCCGAAGCGCTCAACGAATTCCAGGGTGGTGTGCTGATGGTGTCCCACGACGTCACAATGTTGCAGACGGTGTGCAAATCGCTGTGGGTTTGTGATGGAGGCACTGTCGAGAAGTTCCCTGGCGATGTTCAGGCGTACAAGAAGAGGATTGCCGCGCAAGCTAATGCTGCAGGTGTTGTTAAGCAGCATTAAGTATGTAGCCAAATTGATAAGACTGATTTTATGGTCCAAATAGATTTGCCCGACAACTTGAGACCAGATGACATGTTGTAGTTATAATGTGTGATACGAACCGTTCATGTCTCTGTTTTCAGCTACTCGCTAGGTATTCAGCTGATGATAGTTTTCTCTCACAAACACAACAATCAAGATTTGACTCATATTGTCCGACCCTAATGGTACTGATGCATAATGTGAGGTTGTGTTACATGTGATGTCGACAAAATGGGCTCGGACGGATTTCTATTAGAGCCTCGATGAATAGATGACAATTCGCACTCAATAGCAACAATGAGCGTTGAGTTTCAAACAAGACCTTTTTGAATGATGCACCTACGGATTCTGAATCCTGTTTTTTTATATATCAAAGTTCCAACTCCCTTCCTACAAAAAACCTTGCTGCGTGCACCGCCTCAACTTTGACGAGAAGCACTCAACACCCATACATCTTCGGTCTCAATCATTGCCTATCATGTCAGAAATGGAAGGCGTCGTGGCAACCCAGGCGGTTGTCGCCATGGACATCACAGAACCTGAACCTCATGAAAGCCGCGATGAAAACAAACCCGCGTTCGATATCAAGAAGCCCAAGCCAACACTTCAGATCCGCGACAATCTACTGTACTGGAAATGCAACCAAACACTTCACGACGGCAGCGTCTGCGGTTCCTACAACGAGCTGGACTTCAAGCAGTGCAAGGACTGCAAGAGCCGACGCGGTATTGGAGATGATGGCACTGACGCCTACGGCACTAAAATTGCAAAGATCGTCTTTGTTAACAACAAGAATGGAGAGGAACTTTGGCAGTATGCTTCGGAGGAATAGGTCAGCTCAAAGACGTCGATGGTTCACATGGATGCGAAGTCTAGCAGAGAAGACATGAACACAAGGCGAAGGAGAACTCGATGGTTATTTGCGCGCGAGAGATGTCGCGTTTGCCTCAGACTTTTACGAATCGTGAGAAATGGATCAGATTTGATTTTAGAGGTGTCGACATGTTGTTCCTCTATGGAGCTTCCAAGCAACATCTACTGCAGAGAGCACAATAGGCACCCCCTAAAGCTTTCCAAATTATACCTGTTGCAGGAGAACTTCTTCTTTCATGCCTAAGGAGTCTCCTTCAGAGCCATTCAGTTGTGTATAAATGCATGGGTTTCGTGACAATCTGAGACTTCCAAAGAGAAGTCACATCATGAACTTTACTGCCGTCCGTCTAGCGGAGAGCATCCTAGAGCCGGATCAGTAGACATAGGTGATGTACACCCACTTAACCATATGCAACGACCCCCATATGATATGCAAACACTCTCTACTTTTAGTTGGCGAAGCAAGGGGAGCTTACTGGTTGCTATGTAACTAGACTTTGCCTCGGTGTTTGTATATGCTTGTTTCTTCTATGGGCTGTGTTTTTTTCTCTCGAATCAATACAATCAGGTGAATTCACATGTTTCGTCTGGTTTCTAACCTTTTACACCATATGGATTCCTCCTACGTTCTTTCGGTCCCCTTCACCTGACAGCCGGCAAGTGTAAGCTGTCATGTGTAGTAATTCAAGCTCAACACTCGAGCCACAGGGAATAAGATAATCTCTGACCCTGAACCAAGGTACTGAAAACCATTACATTAGCTTTTTGTGTTGTTGAGGATAGAGATATTGGGAGTTGTTCCCTCCCCAGCCGGGGCAGGCAGAGTGATTGGCGCTGGTTTAGATTAACTAACATCAATATGTGCCAGTGAATAGGTAGGTACTAAGGTAACCAATGGATATCTACCTAGTAAGAAAGAAGATGCAAATTTATAACGTTCAATGCAATTGGAGCCTTGCTTCACTGGCCGAGTATTTCGGTAAATACAGATACATTCAGCTCGGAGATTCTCTTATATACATATAGTACTGTGCTATCGCCTCATTATTAATTCTGATCGTCCGAAGCCGTATGTTCATCTCGGATGGTCAAATCGCTAATTTACCAGTGGGGCAAGGTTTGCTGGCACTCCAACAGTTGGCGATCTGGCGATACCTCACACACTGACTGGGCTGCCAGTGTGGCTGGCCTCAACGGTGCGGAAGATGGTTGTGACTTCAAAAACGGCTCGATTCGGGGTAATTGAGCCTACTAAATATATAGGCAGGTGGGTTCTTTTTTATTTTATTTTTATCTAAGCTGCCTTATAAGAATTACCACTTCAATTCTTAATATGCATCCATCTGGAGATAAAATGGCGGGCTACTATTTCCTCTCCGTCGGCAGTGACAGGTGCGGATTCATTGGCGTGCCTGCCACTGCGGGACCCTTCAGGCGGCGCCTTGCCCTTCTGAACGCGTGCACGGATCAAGAGGTAAACAAGCGAGAGTGCTTACTGGTCCAATGGCCTGGAAGGAACCGCCCTGCCCCTTGTTTACCCCCTGCTGGGCCCTGGAGCCGTGGCGGTGAACAATTTCACCCTCTTCCATGACTGAGGTGCCCTCCAGCTCCAAACAAAAATCAACATCGCCCTTTGGTCTCTTTCCAACCCAACCCAACCCACTCTTCTCCTCCGTCAAAGCTAGGTCTACTTCAGCTCTTCGACGACTTCGGCCCATTTCTCTCCTCCTTCTCTCTACTCCTCCAGATTACATTCATCCACATCCATCAACATGCGTGAGATTGTAAGTACCTCTCTTTTAGAGTTCGTATTGTGCTGTTGCACGCGTTGAGTTTACCGTGCCCCTGATTCTACCCCGCTGGGTGGTGGCAGCTCAACGACATTGCACGATAGCTAGCAGCTTTAACCTACCTTCTGTCAAGACGAAGAAGCTAATCAGATCTTTTCTCTACGATAGGTTCACCTCCAGACCGGTCAGTGCGTAAGTGCTCATCGCTTCCTCAACGTCGCATGCGGGGGATGCTCACAACGTTTATCAGGGTAACCAAATTGGTGCTGCTTTCTGGCAAACCATCTCTGGCGAGCACGGCCTCGACAGCAATGGTGTCTACAACGGTACCTCCGAGCTCCAGCTCGAGCGCATGAGTGTCTACTTCAACGAGGTATGCCTTAACAGTCAATGCCAACAATCCACAAGCTCACACAACTAGGCCTCTGGCAACAAGTATGTTCCCCGAGCCGTCCTCGTCGATCTTGAGCCTGGTACCATGGACGCTGTCCGTGCTGGTCCCTTCGGTCAGCTCTTCCGTCCCGACAACTTCGTTTTCGGTCAGTCCGGTGCTGGAAACAACTGGGCCAAGGGTCACTACACTGAGGGTGCCGAACTTGTCGACCAGGTCCTCGACGTTGTCCGCCGTGAGGCCGAGGGCTGCGATTGCCTTCAGGGTTTCCAGATCACCCACTCCCTCGGTGGTGGTACCGGTGCCGGTATGGGTACTCTACTTATTTCCAAGATCCGCGAGGAATTCCCCGACCGAATGATGGCCACCTTCTCCGTCGTTCCCTCTCCCAAGGTTTCTGACACCGTCGTTGAGCCCTATAATGCAACCCTCTCTGTCCATCAGCTGGTCGAGAACTCCGACGAGACCTTCTGTATCGATAACGAGGCCCTCTACGATATCTGCATGCGCACCCTGAAGCTGTCCAACCCCTCCTACGGTGACCTCAACTACCTTGTTTCTGCTGTTATGTCCGGTGTCACCACCTGTCTCCGTTTCCCCGGTCAGCTGAACTCCGACCTCCGAAAGCTCGCCGTCAACATGGTGCCTTTCCCTCGTCTACACTTCTTCATGGTCGGCTTTGCTCCTCTGACCAGCCGTGGTGCTCACTCTTTCCGCGCTGTCAGCGTTCCTGAGTTGACCCAACAGATGTTCGACCCCAAGAACATGATGGCTGCTTCGGACTTCCGCAACGGTCGCTACCTGACCTGCTCGGCCATTTTGTGAGTGATCCCGATTTTGCACATGGTAACAATTTACTGACTTTATCCAGCCGTGGCCGTGTCGCTATGAAGGAGGTCGAGGACCAGATGCGCAACGTCCAGAGCAAGAACTCGTCTTACTTCGTTGAATGGATTCCCAACAATATCCAGACAGCCCTTTGTGCCATCCCTCCCCGAGGACTTACGATGTCTTCGACCTTCATCGGAAACTCCACCTCTATCCAGGAGCTCTTCAAGCGCGTTGGTGAGCAGTTCACTGCCATGTTCCGACGCAAGGCTTTCTTGCATTGGTATACTGGTGAGGGTATGGACGAGATGGAGTTCACTGAGGCTGAGTCCAACATGAACGATCTTGTCTCCGAATACCAGCAGTACCAGGATGCTGGTATTGATGAGGAGGAAGAGGAGTACGAGGAGGAGCTCCCTGAGGGCGAGGAGTAAATCTGCTCCACAGTGTGCTGAAATAACTGGCCGCTATGTCATGTTTGTCGTATAGCCGGCCTGCAACTTCTTTTCGAGTGTAGTTGTTGTAATTCTGGGGTTAAGATATCCTCAATAGTGGCAGTACACTATAGTTGTATGAGCCAAATAAAATTCCAAGAGTACTGTTGTACCAATCCAAGTCTTCAAGGTGGCGAAACTAGCACCAATTAATTCAAATTGGTCACAAGCCAGTTTCGCCAAGTACCTACTCGAAATGTTTCTGTGACATGAAGTTAAGCATCGGCAATCGGACCACATTCGCTGACGCGACCCTTGGTGTAAGTTGTCATAGGTAGTGAACACGTGATACCATGACTAAGCGCGAAAAGTTGAGCTCCATCAGCTTGCCAACCTCGTTCGACGAGCCAATACTGCTGCACGCCCACGGCAGCCATCTCGACACCAATGGCCGCCATGTTTACTCCCAGCCGGGGGAGGGCAATTGGACGAGCCATTGCGGCTTCGTCGTCTGGCCCTGTTACCCTCCCTAGCTTCCTGGTGCCAGCATGGCGAACGACAGCACCCAAGATCGCATCTTCCCGAGCCGCCATTGCCCTCTTCTCCACGACCTCGAAGCGACCATCCAAGCTGGGAAGAACCCCTCTATCGATCCCTCCTGGTGTAGAGCTATCTGTTGGCGAGCCGGTGGCGAGCAAAGACTTGACATCATACAAGAAGGTGTACAAGAAAACCATCACTGTAAAGGGACCTTTGGGTATGAGGGAACGGCACCTAGAAATGAGGGGAATGATTGCTGACTGGATGTTAGGAGAGCTTGAGCTCGAAGTTCCGGAGTACGTGCAGGTGACGCAAGATCCTGAGGCAAAGGTGGTATCATTGAATGTCCAGGACACTGACGCCAAGGACCAAAAGGCCATGTGGGGTACGTTCACCGGTTATCGTCACGCTTGGTGGCATTGGGGCTGACAATTGGATAGGAACAACATGGTCTTACCTAAGGAACTATATAATGGGTGTCTCGGAAGGGCACACGGCCATTCTCCGTCTGGTCGGTGTTGGTTACAGAGCGAGTGTCGAAGAGCGAGGTGCTAAAGAGGAATTCCCTGGACAGCGCTTCCTGTGCCTCAAGCTCGGGTTCACTCACCCTGTCGAGGAGGGCATCCCTCGTGGCGTGACCGTAACAACTCCTGCGCCTACACGTATCCTGATTGAAGGAATTGACCGCGAGACCATCATGTCGTTTGCTGGACGAGTTCGCATGTGGCGTCCTCCGGAGCCTTACAAGGGCAAGGGCGTGTTTATTAACGACCAGACGATCAAGCTGAAGCAGAAGAAGATCAAATAGAGAGATGGTATGTGGGAATTTATACTGGCCAGCTTGGTGGCTTGGCCTATGGGACGCAGCTGGCGTGTGTATTCTAGTATCATGTACAGATTTGTGTGTACTATTTGACGAGGCATATACAAAACTACATTTTCTGCTTTTGAAATTTTCGCTTTCATTAAAGTCATGCACTTTTGTTTTCCTATTTACTTTTCCTTATGACTGTTTGGCGCTCAGAACCTCCTGGACTGCTTCGAGAACCTTGGCGTGAACAGCCGCAGGAGCGGCAATGACGCCCTTGTTGTTGGCCAGAGTGCGTCCTACGCTGAAGTCGAGACGCTTTCCGTGAATGTCAGTTACTTGACCGCCAGCCTCACGAACAATGAGGTCACCGGCAGCGTGATCCCAGATCTTCTCCTGATATGTGGCCTTGACAGGCAGACGGAGGTAGATGTCGCCAGCACCGCGGGCAATAGAGCCATACTTAGCCTGGCTGTCCATGCGGACACTCTCCTGGGTAATACCAAGCTTCTTCGAGATAAGAGCTTGGTCGTCATGCGCTGAGTGACCTGCCTCAACGCTCTCGCAGAAGGTAGCCTTGGAGAGATCATCAATGCTTCGCATAGAGATGGGCTTCTCAGCAGAAAGAGCACCGGAAGTGAGAGGTCGGCTGTTCGCGCCATGGCCCTGCACAGCAGAGAAAACAACACCACGACCCTCATCGGTGGCATTAGAGCCAATGTCGGAGGTAAGACGGGCTGAGTCGTCAACTGGAAGGTTAGGGCAGCCAAGAACACCGACCTTGACGTCACCGTCGACCATGAGACCAAGGCAGACAGCGTATTGCCCACCACGGAGGAAGCCCTTTGTACCGTCAATGGGATCGATTGCCCAGATACGACCGCTGGAGCCACCCTGGCTGCCACCTCTATCGATCAATTCCAACATGTCGTCAACATCCTTAATGGGGCCACCCAGTTGCTTCTCAGCATCTTCATCGTCAAGCTTTGTAGAGCTGACGAGCTCCCAGATAGTCTGCTTCAGGTTCGCATCGTCACGGAGCTGCGCAGCCTCCTCCTCGGCGACAATAGCGTCGTCAGGGAAGTTGTGGCGGAGAGCGGCGATGATGAGGGCCTGGGCGCCGAAGTCGCCAATGGTGACAGGGCTCTTGTCATTCTTGTCAACGGTTCCCTTTGCCTTTTCGTGGAAGACGCGCTTGGTGAGGATCGTAGCACGCTGAACGGCCAATTGGGCGATCTGAAGCTCTGAGGCGTAGGATGGAGAAACCATAGTTGTGAGCGGTCGTTGGAGAAGGATAAGATGGGAAGAGAGTTGGCGGAGGCGGGGGATGAAGGCGGGGGAGATAAGGATAGCCAGGATGAGGGTCAATAAGAAAAGAATAAAGGATCTGGAGAAGAAGAAGAAGTTTGGAGTAGCAGTGGGCATACAAGGCAACGCAATAAAATGTAGGCCTAAGTATGGTAGCTACCAAGTAACGTGGGATGGCGCAATTGTCCTCTTGTTTTTTTATGGTGGTGTTGGAGCTTAGAGCAGACACTGGTTGGTGTCTGTCGGGTCGTCGGGCGGGTCGTCGGGCTCTAGATGAAGGCAATTGGGTCTAATTAGAGTGGGATGTGGGTTGGTAGATTGATATGAGAGACGGACGACAAGAGGAAGAGAAAAAGAAGTGGGATGAGCCGTTGAGAAGTCTGAAGCCTGAGTACTAATATAAGCTGCGAGTACCTACCTGGTAGGTATGGCGTAATCGGAAGCGGAATACAATTCGAATGCGTCAATTAAATTACTACTTAGTTCAAACGAAGCCAAAATATGTCAAACAAAAAATCCATGTTAGAGTTATCACTATATACCTCCATAATGGAAGCTCTATTACCAAGATAAATGTGCAATGGCAAGATTAGTAGGTAGCTCTCTAGCCAGCCCCGCCATCAGAACTCCGATATCGATGAGGAGGGGCATTTCTCTCTTCCATCCCACCAACAGAACAGTTTCTTCCCCCCCTGCTGATAGCGGAACCACCCGATTGGCCGGACTTTTCAAGCATCAATTCTGCCCAGTTCATAACTACCTATACAGTCAATCTCAAAGCATCATCTCAACTCGACATCCTCTTTTGCTTCCCACCAACCAAACCCTGTCACCCGAAATGGCCTCTTCTCCAGCCTCACTACGCTCTCTCTACCGCTCCCTCCTTCGCGAGCTACCACCTCGACCAATTCTCGCCTCACCACGCTCACCTCTTCACTCCCGTCTTCGAGATTCCTTTTCTTCCAGCTCCAAGGCGGCGACATCACAAGACGCCCGCGCCCATGCCGCTGCCCAGGCCATCGCCTATCTTCGATCTCAGCGCATGTATGCCACGTTACTCGAGCGTTATAACCCTGGTATGGGTATGGATGAGGAGGAGCGTGTTCGCTTGACCGCTAGGAGGGTCGGCATGGATTTGCCAGTTGAGTACAAGTAAATGGCTATTTTAACGGCGAAATGAAAGTGAGGAAAGGGACGGGAGAAGGGGACGGAAAACGGCTTCAAGGGCCATGAATCATCAAAGAGAAACGGACCATGACTGATCGACCCATCCAATGAATCTAAACACCAAGCGCCAAACGATTTTCAACAGCGAATTTACAGATGGGGGAATAGGCCAGATGGCATCCAGCACTCAAGAATACGGCGGCGGAGAAAAAGTTGGATTCAGCCCACACACCCTTCAGTGTACGAATAAGTGTATGGAACAGAAAAGACAGACGCAATACCCGAGCGTCACTCGATTATAAAGAACAACCATATCATCATCATATCTCATATAAAAAGGACATCTTTGGTCCAGGATCAACAAATTATATACAGAATAATAGCCTTTCCAATCATCAAGCCCATTTGGCTCAGGGGGTATCAACTTCTACTCACTTCACTTCACTTCACCTTCTAGACACTGCCCACACCTCTGTCTTCGAGCGACTCATCCCAGCCGCCCATTTGCAACAGCCACCCTCCTAGGCGCTCTTTCACGAGCGTAATGTTATCGCCTAAAGCGCTCTTCCATTGATCTTGAACGAGACGGACCTTTTCCTTCAGATCCTCGGTAAGTCGCCGTTCTTCCGATTGTCGCATTTGCACCGCCTGTGCATTGCTATCTGCCTTGGGAATCGCGTTTCCATTCTCATCTTGGGTCTGCGTCTCGAGGACCTTGCCTTTGGCGTGAACCACAGCCTCTTTGACCTCGTGAAGTAGACACAACAGGTTGGTGTGCGATTCGATGAACTGGTACGTGCTTTTCTCGGCGTGAAGCAGCAAGCTAAAAAGATACTGCATCGGATGCTCCACGTATGATGGGTTTTCCTCAATTTCCGATGCTGGAATCTGAATATTGAAGCCATCCAGATCGAGAGGAATATTGTCCAGTAGCTCACAAAGCGGAGGCGCAATATCCCAAAACGCCGACAGCTGCAGTGCAACACCATGATCCACAGCCTTTTCAACCACTCCTCGGAAGTCTCGGGTCCGTTCCAGAACCTCGTGAGCAAACGCATATTCACGCTTGGCCGCGTCTTCGGCAAAGAAAGCCTCAGCTGACTTGAGCTTCTCAGTATTTCCGGAAAGTCGGTAAGGAGTCAGTACAACCTCGCAATATCGGCCGTTGCGATCCGACAGAAGATCGTAGATGGCCCGGTACAGACCCTCTCGTGCCTCAAAGACCCATTTAAGCAGCGTCAGTTTTTCCAGAAGTTCTGGTCTATCATCACCCTCCTCCTGCGGCATGTCCGCGTCTATCTGCCCGTTATCGAATAGATGTCGGGCCAGGTCGTCAAACAGCTCTGTGGCGCTTGAGATACGCCCTGTCAGTAGTTCGTTCAAAGGCAGTACCACCTGATTCTGGAACAATTCGTATTCGGACTTTTCCAAGTCCTTTTTCTTTGTTATCTCGCTGGCTTTTGCGTCAGCATCAATAGCTCCTGCATCAGCATAACTCAAGCTGCCAGCGTTGATCTCATTCTGCAAGTTTGTACGCAAGGCTTGACGGCGCTCAGACGCTGCTTTGGAAAATTGTTCTCGACGTTTAGTGCTCTCGACAGTGAACCGCTCCCTTGTCTTGGCCAATTCATCGAGTTGACTCAGAGCTCTCACGGCCGTTCTGATGGATGTCAACTCAGGATGTTTGTTATTGACAGCGGGATGGTGTCTTGGATAAGGAGGGGGCATGGTGACAAGGCGGGAAACATCCAAGTGGTCGCGATTGATCGTCGAGCAGGGACTAGACCCCATGTTTGACGTGGTGGCGAAGCCAAATTGCTGAGGAGTCAAGTTGGGCTCCGACTGATCATGCCAGCCCGTCTTTTCAGGAGGATACTCGGATGAAGAGCCTTGCTCCTCGTATACCACAGACGGCTGGTCCTCCTCGACCCACTGTGTCTTGGTTACGCCCATATACTTCGACTCTCTCTTGGAACGTCCGAGATGGGAAGCTTCGCCTTGCGAATCTGATTCCCACCAACGGCTCGGAGGACGACCCCGTGAGCTGCCATTTTCATAGTTTTCACTGACGCTCATACTTAAAATTGGCGATAACGAGGGCATATAATTGCTGGACCAGTTCACGTTTGGTGGGTTGTTCCCGCTCGGCGACGTCGGGACATTGACTGTCTTAGAGGCAGACTGAGGACTTTCTCCCAAGTTTGAACCTAGAGAGCCTCGACGAGAAGGCCCTGGTTCAGATAGTCCAGGGGTCCACTGATCCTGCGAAGAGGCTGACTCTCGCCTTTGGCTGACCATCGGCCGAAATAAGTCGCGGGTGAGGTCAAAGATCTCGGAGCCCATAGCCCCAATAGCGACGGAATATCGTTCTCGTCTGATCCTTGATTCGTTGACAACAAAGTCGGCGAACATACGCACCCTATCCGCGTCAGTAGCGGCTCTCGATTCTCTAATCGCAAATTCGCGGAATCGATCGATAGTCCCTTCTTCAAACTGATCGGCAGTTTGAGTCGTAACCAAATGTTTCGATACCAACAGACCGGCGGAAGGGGGCCGAGAAGACTCTCGGACCCTCGAGACCGATGCCACAGATCCGGACCTTGGAGGCGGAGTAGGGAGCGCCTTTGGAGCAGCAACCTTTGAGCTGCTGGCATATATTGGTTGCTTAGAAGCGTTGGGGGAAAATGGTGGTGTTTCCGCTTCCTGGGGCAGCTTCCCCGATGCTGGGGCTCTAGGGGTCGAGTTTCGGGAGTCTTGCGATGCGAGTGCGCCACTCAGAGGGGTCGATTTACCAATTGATGTCCGTGACAGATCAGTCGTATTCGGTACCATTATGTCGGCCATAGAGTCGGGTCGAGTCCGTTCATCTATGGAGCCACGGACACTGTGTCGGGTCCGACTCTCAGCCCTCCGCTGCAAAATTGTCTTATCATGTCTAACTGCCTTTTGCCGATTGAGCCCGCCGATACTCGATGAGGACCCTAGAGCAGGTTCAACAGGCTGGGAGGATGGTAGCGATGTGTCAATTCTGAGACCCGGTGAGCGGCTTCGGTTTGAGGGGCCTGCTTGACTCCCCGTCTCGTTCCAATCTGCAGGTGTTGGAGGAACAGGTCCGAGTTCTGTGACACCTGTTGGTGGTCGGCGTCTTTTTGTAGGAGGAGATATGATGGGGACTGTGTTCCTATCTATTGACTGTACGCTTTGCGACCTGCTTGAAGCAGGTGGGGGCCCTGGTGGCGGAGGTGGGAGAGGCATGCCTGGTTCCCATCTGGTTTGAGACGCTGATCGTGAGCGAGCAGATGTGGGTGTCTCCACGGCTCCTGCAGAAACGGCTCTTCGAGCCGCTGGCGGCCCATGAATCACAGGCCCAGTCATTCCATGTTCGGGAGTAGGTTGATGAAACGAAGTTTGCACGATCATGCTCTGTCGATGGGCTTGAGGAGGTGGCGGCTGAGGTGGAGGAGTACTAGAGGTGTCCATATCTCTACGGCGGCCTAACGATGGCAGAAAGCGGCGATCCCGTGAACCATTTCGCCCATTTACACCCGGAGGGGGAGGAGGAAAAGATGCATTTGCAGGTTCAGGTGAAGGCCGATGCACCATTGTGCTCAGTCGAGGCGGCGGAGTCGGAGTACCAGCCGGTGCAGAGTCGAAGACGGTACTCATGGGACGCTGCTGTTGACTTCTAGGCGGACTGTATGGCGGAGGCGGCATTGGCGACACTGAAGTATGTTAGAACGCTAGCAATAACATGGTGTTTAGTTCTTGGTGGCTTGCCTTGGACTTCGCCAGCATATTGAACGGCGCGCTCGGCGACAGCAGCCTGTGTGGGAACCCATTCTTGGGGGTTGTATGGCTGTATACTACTGCCAGGTGTTTGGACAGCGGAGTGAAAATGACTGGAGCTCATGGACACGGCAGATATGGGCGTGTGGAGAGGGTTGTTGAAGGCACCTACAGACGATGTCGTGAGAGGAAGAAGGCCTTGACGGAGTCGCACCGCTTCGTGAGAAGTCATGATGAAAGATCAGAGGGACCAAGCGACTATGGACTAAGAATTCACTCGAGCGCCAGGTCCAGGGTCCCTGTTTCAAGCCACAACACCAAAGGATGAGGGAAGTCTAACTTAGAAACAGCTGGGTATCGTGTCAGGGCTGTCTCTTTGGTCGGTTGGTTCTGGTACGTGGGGTGCTAGGGATTGGATGGATCCGCGGGGTGGGCGGCGCGTGCGAGCAGCAGCAGTAGTAGAGTGAGTCGATGCTCAGGTGAGGATCGAAGCAGTCGAAACTATTTTGAGACGACAAGGAATAGGTATGACTATGATGACTCTCGATCTGGCCCGGCACAGCACAACCGGAGGAGAGACCTGACAGAGAGACGTATGTGTGTATGTAGGTAGGTATGTTACAGGTGAGGCTCTGTGTGAAGGACGCTGCAGCTTGTCGAAGTTGGTCAATTGACAAGGAGGTAACGAATATCTCTCATCAAGCCATTCACCGTAGCTGCGGCGAGGACGAAGAGTACGTCCCCTAATGCGCAACCAACCAAATAAGAAACAGAGATGTGATTGAGATTTTGGACTGCCCTTGGATGTGAAAGGTGAAGAGAGAAAGTGGTTGGGAGAGGGGCTCTGTAAAGGGAAATGGATGTACAGGTCGCAGTTGGAGTAAGGTAGGTAGGTAGCAGCAGGAGGTAGACCCCTGCATAAGCCAAGTCAAGTCACCTTTTACGGTAAGATGTTGAAATCACGACACCTCAGTTTTTTTTCTTTTCTTTTCTTTCTTTTTTTTTTTTTTGGCGGTGTCAGCGGGAGTACACTTTCAAGTCGATAAACTGGAAACCATTCTCGGTTTTCTGTCTATTGCCGGAGAGCCAAGCCCTGCCTACAGTGTGTACCTGCTTTGGGAGAAACTTACTGGGGTGGTCGAGCATTACATGGATGATAGTTAGACGCTATCTGAGGGTGGGACAAAGAGATACTACAAGGTATGCTTCACGGGAACTTTGTCCACGGCCAATTGGCAACAGAGACGGAGGATCTACGGAGTACATACATACAAGCATGGCTTTCACTATCAGGCACTAGTCAAGCTTGAGGGGATTCTACTAGGGATGACGATGACAGAGCACCCTCGACCGCTTCTTGCAGAGTAGGTGATTAACTCACAGCTGACAGAGTTGAAAGATGGCGTTCTTTATATATCCTAGTTGGTATCTGTAGATCCTAGAGGATGCATTGGTGTAGTAGCTATGGACACCAATCAGTTGAGCGCTGCTTCATTTGTGCCTTCTGTGTGCATGCTGTAAGCAGAACGGCAACAGATACCTTACATACCTAGGTAGTCATGTTGCCTGTCCGTCACCATACAAAGACGTTGAATATCCCACATGGAAGCTGAAGGACTTGCTCAATCTTCCTCCTCCGACCCCGCTGAGTGAAAAAGGTTGGGATAGACTTGGAGAAAGCTAAGTTTGGAACGATCCGTCGTGGTTCTATTCTTAGACTCATCCCTCAGCTTCTATTGGCTGACAAGGATTGACTATGCGGGTTGAGTGTGGATGCCGGCGCTTAATGGGCGTCCCTCGCTGCCTGTCACATTTCTCTGCTTCTATGAAACTCTCGAGACCCATGACCGGAAAGACGTTTGCACGGCTGGATCGAACTGCTGCATGAGATCCATGTGCAGGGGGGCTTCATGCTGTGGGCTGATGTTGACTTTTGATCGCTAAACTGAATACTCCTTACAGACTGCAGAGTGTCATTGGAATCCCCGGGGACCAAGTTATCCGAAGAGAACAGAATAACAACGCAAAAGACGGTCAACAAATAAAGTTTCAACTGCCATGCGCCGTTTAAGAACAAAGATATGCTTGATGGAGTTGATTCCATAGGTAGGTAACCAATGTCACCGATCAAATAGCTTATAAATCTAAGCTGGGGTGAAACTTGGAATGTTCTGTTTCTATGAATAGATCGACCAAGAGGTGGTATAGGTAGAAGTACAGATCTAGCTGACTTATCCATCACTCTTGAGATCACACCTAATCTGTCAAGGGGAGGCAACAAAACTTGGGACCTCTATCGAGTGATGAAAAGTCTTAGGTAAACTGAGCACAATTACACATATACTGAATAGACCTTAGATGAGATATTCTTGGCACCTTGGTTCAGTCAAAAGCTTTCGTGCGCCATGAACTCCGTCCGTATGCCGATCACAAAAGTATGTACCCTTGTCCAAGCTGGCATGAGGCATGATCATAATGTGACGACCATACTTAAGCCCAGTTGCTGCTCTCAATCTCTATCCAGTTGCCTATGGGGTTTCTCAGATAACTCTTGGCCGCCCGCACGAAATCCTTCATGAGATCGTTCGTATCCAACAGTGGAAGCTATCGAACTTGATGGGCGTGTGCCTTTTTCTCTACAGCCGATACTCTGTATTGGCTGAGCCAGCTTTTTGACACAAAGCTAACCGATGCTTCAAGTCCTTTTGTTGAGTGTTGTCTCCTTGGGTCAATTGGGATGTCATTCGCAAGCAAGCAAGGCACTTGTGATCCTAGGGGCCTAATCTTGGTGGGAAAGCTTCACCAGTTGACATAGTGGAACGAGAGGGTACGGATACGGATCTTCGATTTCTCGTTGGTTTCCATATAGAAATCTTCGATATCCTTTCCCCGTTATAGGAAGAATATTCTTACCGAGGCTGAAGAGAAGATTGTTTTGGTTATCGATAAAAAATGACGAGGCTGGGTCTTGCTCTGAAATGAGCCCCACTTGAAGCTAGCTCTAGGACACTGGAAAAAGGTGGGGGCACAAGGCTCGAGTAAAATTCTAGAGGATTCTTCTCCAACAAACTCTCCTCTCCTTTCAACTCTTCATATTCTGCTCTTCTCTCTCTGCCTTTCCTTTGCTACCTATTTATTGACATTTTGACAACTGCTCACTCTCTTTCCTTTCAACATCTTCTCTACACCTCCTTCACTAAACTGTAAGTACATGCGTCACTTTTTTACACCAATTGTCGCATCTTTCATGATGAGATATCCAGCTGGCACCAGTCATAGAGTGACTTGTACTCCCTTCATTGATGACCAACATGCTGTGGTCTAAGACCATTTCTGATTCCAATTGCGGCCCTTGTCTTTCATATTCACCTCGATCAACATCTGTTTGGAGTTTCAGCTAACAGATTCAAAGTCATCTAGTACACCCCCTTTGACCGACTTCACAATGGTTCTACACAACCCCAACAACTGGCACTGGGTCAACAAGGACGTCTCAGCATGGGCCAGATCCTACTTTGACGAGAGCCTCACCAAGGTTCAGGCCGAGGAGGGTGAGGTCAAGGCCAAGATTGATAAGATCCAGAGCATGGATGGTGATGTCGATGTTAGCCAACGCAAGGGCAAGGTAATTACCATCTTTGACGTCAAGCTGGTGCTCCAATATTCTGGTAAGGGAATGCGGTGACTTTGGCTGCAGACATGACAACTAACCATTCAGGATCTGCTCCCGGTGAGGATGATGTTTCTGGTACCATTACTGTGCCTGAGATCGCCCACGACACGGAAGAAGACGAGTACGTGGTACGTAAAACCTCCCCTGCTCTTTCGCCTTCCGTGTTGCCGTAGAATAAACCTCGCTAAGAACCCTCGTAGTTCGACGTAGACATCTTTGCCGAGTCCAAGGAAAAGCAACCCGTGAAGGACCTCGTCCGATCAAAGATCGTGCCCCAGCTGCGTCAGGAATTCCAGAAGCTTGCCGGCGCCCTCATTGCCGAGCATGGCAAGGATATCCAGCATGCCCCCGGCTCGAACCCCTCGAGCGGTTTCTCGACTCCCAAGATTCACCCTCAGAGCTCCACCCCTAAGCCTGCTGCCACTTCCAGCACTCAAAGTAAGACCGGCGGTGTCGTAAACACCACTACCGTGACAGACAACGAAGAGTTCCGAACTACTGCTGAAGAGCTGTACCAAACCTTTGTCGACCCTCAACGAATCGCTGCTTTCACACGTTCTCCCCCCAAGGTCTTCGATGGCGCCAAGGTTGGTGGAAAGTTTGAGCTGTTCGGCGGCAATGTGTCTGGCGAGTATCTCGAGCTCGAGGAGCCTAAGAAGATCACCCAGAGCTGGCGACTGAACCAGTGGCCTGCCGGTCACTTCTCCAAGCTGCACATCGAGTTTGACCAGAACGACGTCGACCACGTTACTGTTATGCGAGTCAAGTGGGAGGGTGTTCCTATCGGCCAAGAGGACGTTACCAAGCGCAACTGGCTCGAGTACTACGTCAAGAGCATCAAGCAGACTTTCGGGTAAGTTTCAGTGATGGCTTTTCTTGCTCAATTATACTGACCATGAGGGCGTAGCTTCGGCACCATTTTGTAAGCATGCTACAAGACCAAGGAGTCGTGGAGTTGGGGTACATACAAGGATAATACGCTCTCTAGATGAGGGTAGTGACGGGGGGTTGTATAGTCGCTGCTGTGGCGGAGGAGGGCGAGGGCCGTCTTGGGTGATCTGCACAAGACCTAGAAGCGTGTGGTTACGATATCATGAGAGACGTAAAGTAAAGTAAAGCAAAGCAAAGCAAAGTAAAATGAAATAATGCATCAATGGTTAAGAGCCATATTTTGTCATAAGTTATCTGGAGTATGTCTAATACCTCGCATATTCGCGTAGTGCCTCTCGTATCAAACTCATTGTCCCGTTCGTCCTTTATTCTTTGTTTCCTCCGAGTCACTCTGCTGTCCATCAAATGATACACTGGGTTTAAACATGGCATCTTTTTCTACCCCCTTTCGCGTTCAAAGCCGTAGCTTGCCCATATCAGGTCCTGCCACTTTGTATCCAGACTCCAAGCCAGTCACTTTATTAGACAGAGCTATTGTCTTGGTCCAGCCAGGGAGACAATGCTGGGGGACCAAGCCATATACGGTATATTCCAATCATAATGAAAAGCAACCAGGGATAATAAAGACGACGGCAGTACTGATGTCCCGTTGTTCTTGTTTTCTCTCCATCCAAGGTAGAAAGGATACTTAGCATCACAGAATGATTCTTGAGGAGCTAAAACTCTTTCTTCCCCAAAAGGCAAGAAATTAGGCTTCAGGCTCTCCAAGTCTAGCAGTTTTGTTATTTTGATAGATGCCATGACTGCTTTGATGATTGCACTAAGACCGTTCAGAAGGGTGGTATCTGGGCTCTTGACCAAAGCATCTAGCCAAACGCCGTACTGTGTGACATTAGGTCCGAGATGTTAAAGCGCTCTGTGGCTGTTATGTTGCCTCAGGATGGCATCACAGCAGCGATGGACTTTTCGAAAGTGTTATTGCTGAAGGAAAGGGGCGGAAGAGCCGCCTGCGGCAAAAACCTGCAGTTCTGGTCTCGAACGTATCTCCTAACTTCAGCGGCTGCGAGCCCCATCTTGTATAAGGACCGATGCTCTACTGGTATTCTTCGCGTTTCTGAAGATTTGATTGGTTTCTTTGCCTATTGGGTCTGAAGACTTCCAAACTCAATGGGTCGATACTCAACCAGGGCTCTTTGGGGCGGATGAAACCAGTTGGTGCTGGTCGTCTCCATTCGATGCCAGTGACCCGGGTCTTCGGCAGTATAAAAATCACCTTTACCCACTGAGTCATTGGCTACTAAAACTACTTCTCGAGTATGAAGCGTTCCAACGTCGCCAGGGTAGAACTGATCAGCTCTGCTGGCTGATAATTTATTGGTATGGCTGTAGCCAAGCTATTGGGTGGCAGGGACATATTTGGAGCATAGGGAGGCTCCTGACCTGACTGAAGCGAGTAAAGGCCCGGATGATATCATAAAGCGGAAAGTCATTGATCCATGGCTCGGGGAGCCGTTCTTCACTGCCGAAAGCTCGCTCTTGATAAATCCGACTAATCGTGGGTGAAAGTTCTTCTTGGTCCAGTCGTCCGGGCTTACAATAGCAAACTTGTAGCCCACAGACGCAATGATACTCATAATCAAATAAAAATATCGCAAAGTGATAAAGGGGGATACCCTGTGAAGCCATAGACGACTGGTGCTCGTGGTTGAGAGCTGAGATACCGAGCATAGTCAAGGCCATTGTTGTGTTGAGCCTGTCAACTAGCCCATATATCAAATAGATGAACATATGCTTCTGTGAAGCCACAAGTTAACAGAGCAAATGCAACGCCAACAATAGCTATCCAGGGCAGACATCCATGTGCTCAGCCCTGGATATCCATGGAGAGGGACTATCAAGCTCTGAAGATAGAAAACCATTTTGGCGGACACGGCAGACACACCAGGTGAGAGCGTTCGACTCAAGGTTGTGCATAACCAGATGTCTCCTTTGACTACATCGTTCTGCAAAGCTAGAGCACGTTTCAGACTTTCAATGTCAGCAAGCTCGGCATACTAGAACCGTGTTGCAATGATCTGGATTGAAGATTCCCGGTTCTTGAATTCCCACGGGTAATTCCTGAAGGTTGCACGTTTTGCAGTTCAATCAATACCATTCTAATAAAATGCAGTTTTCGCATCATATTCCGTCTCTTCTCGTGAATCTAAAGCTTGGTTTTATCTTGACGTATGTGAACGACAGGTCGTAACTCTTGTAGATGTCATATCTATGATCCAATCCTCTATGCATCAAGCTTGAGTCGGTCAAGCATGGCGTCGATCTTGCCTTGTAGGATCTGGTAGTTGATAGCGTCTGAAACAAACTCATCCTCTGCTTCCGCTCCGTCTAAAGTCCTCGCGGCACCTCCGCCATTGGCTTGCCCATTGTTGTCTTTCTTAACTGCGTGCTTTGTACTAGCAGGACCACCGTCTGCGGCATCTGTCGAGATCTCAGCTTGTTGTGCCACCGCAGCAGCCAATTCTGCATTGGTCTCTCCCTCCTCATCCATCATGTCTTCCAGACCTGCATCCTCAAAGCGATATCTGAATCGATCATCAAGGTAATACCGAATATCGTCCAGCAATTCAATAGTATCTGTCTCTTCTCGAACTGTGATCCGTTGGGCAGACTCTGCAATGAGAGCTTGGAAGTCTTCCTCATCTATGTAGTCCTCTAGGCGATATGCGAGATAACGCGCAGCGAACTCTTCTAATCGCTGGACACGAAGATCCCATGCTGCGTGTATAACGTCGTATATGTTGACGGGTTCCATCTCTATTTGTTCGTCCTCTCCACCCGTGTCGCCATTTCTTTGCGCCTCACCATGAGTGCGGTCTACCAGCACATTGGAGGTGCCGCTACCAAGCGTGCTGATGGTCAGAGCAGCTTTACTCTTAAGATTATCGAGGAACAGCATATCTGCAGCATATAATAGGTCCAAAGCGTGCTCGAGGGGACAGTTAACAGCCTCGGTGTAGAGGTAAGTAAGGATGATTTCAAGGACTGCGGGCGTGCAGTCGATGGTGATGACTCGGAGATGTTCGTCTCGTTTGGACTCAACGAAATCGCCCGAAAACATCTTCTCAAAGTATTCGCTGCGAATGAGCATTGCCTTATGAGCGGGATAAAGGACTGATTTGCGCTTGATGACTGATTCTTGATCTCCGGCTGGGCCAATCGGTATAGTAGGGCGGTCTATTGTTGGCGTTGTCTGACCAGACTTTTCATCCTCAATATCGATGGGTTCGTCAGCGCGAAGGATGACATCTGCAAACATTGAGTTGTCATATTTCCACTTGATATCTTTCACTTGGTCCGTGTCAACAACCATTTTGAGACCGAGAACATTTAGTTTGAAGAAACTTTCGAACTGTCCTCGGGCCCGGTCAACTTCAGATTGATACCGTTGGCGAGCAAGTCTCCTATCTCCGCCTGCGAGAATAGTCTCCCATAGAGACTCAACCTCGAGCTGCTTGCTGACCTTGTCTAGCCCCTTGAATACTTCTTCTTCGGAGTCAGCACCACCCACAGGCGCGATATCACGAGGAACTTCGCCCAAGTAGAGATATCTCAGGACAATGATGAAAGACTGCACAGGCACAGCGTTGGCGAGTTTCCAGGTGGTGGTATCTGGGACAGCAGCAAGTTTAGAACGGAAATAAGGTGACCGTGCTATGAGGATGAATTTATGAAGATCAAAATAACGGGACCCTGAGACAAGGGTGATATCTGTTGTCTTGGGACTTGTACGGCCAAGAAGAGTTGAGATGTGAGTTGACCAGTAGACATAAGGATCTGAGGACTTGGAGAAGTCATATTGAAGGAGAAGGTTGCGGATGCGATCATTGAGGGCATTGTAGATGCATCGTTCCCCTTGGAAAGTATTTCGTTCCGCTAGGGCGCCTGGAGAGTGTTAGTGGATGACTGAATGTCTAGACTTGTAAGTGCCAGGTTGGCAAGACATTTGTTTATGATGAAACTACAATAGTGACTGATTGTATAAGTGCAAACCTACCAGATTCTAATAACAGCCGAACAAGCTCATAGTGTCCGCATAGACTTGCCTGCTTGTGTCAGTTCTAAGCTCTGGTGACTTATATGTACCACAACACTTACAATGATGAGAGGGGTGTAATCGAAACGATCCTTGCCATTGATGTTCACACCCTGGCTGATGAGCTCTTGACATCTCTTCAGGTCGCCATGTCGACACGCCAAGAGGAACTCATTGAACTCGGGGCTCTCGTCAAGAGGATTCTCCTCGAGAAGAACGCCACTCTCGATGAGCCGAGTCTCTTCGCCAAGCTTTCCCTCGAGTTCGAATTTGCGGAGAACCATGGTTGAGTGAGATTATCAGGGTAAAGCCAGAGAAAGGACAGTCTTTTTTAAGTGGTCTATAAGTATGCAAAGAAGTTTATTTTTGTTATTGCTTTATCTCCGAAACCCGCCCGCTCGTTTCTAGTTCATGATTATCAAAGCATGGGGATCCCCCTCCAAGAAAAAAGTCGCCATCATCACTGCGGGCTGAGATCAGCCAATGACGAGCTACATTTCTTTCACATCGAGGTTATCACGGGATCACGTGCCTGATATGGTCATCGTTCTATCGCGATATCAAACATGGCTTACATGCATAACATCTAAGCCCGCTTCCTCCGAGCATTGCCTTGTTGTTGACAATCATTCTTTGAGGTTGGAATCTGGCGTATGTACTTTACTTGTTCCTTTTCATGTTCTTTCAATTTTCTGTTTCTTAGTCTTACTTGATGGTCTTTTTTCCAGTCAAATTAGCAAAATGAAGCCTTGATTCAGTGCCACCACCCACATTCTCCTGCCAAGCTTCTCACTTAGCTGGCAAATTTGGTTCTTACATTCTTCGGCCTTCACTCTTTGTGCAAATCGAAAACATGAGTCCCCTAAAGAAACTCATTCTTCTGATCCTCTTTATCTCTTTTATGGTGTTTGTAGCCTTTTTTGGCCGAATACCTGCTCTGAGGTTCGTCTTGCATTTGTCTCTTGTTTACCTAACTTGAAGATATTGACTCGGGATAGACGAACGCCTATAGCCGCACTGCATAGGTTAATATGGATCCATATACCCAATCTGATCGCTAGGGTAGATCAGGTACTCACTGGAGGGAGAATATCGAGCTATCTGTCCCGGTTCAGTAACATGATGCTACATGAGCGACACTGGACTGTTGTGGTGAGTTGTCTTGCTATCCCTTTTGAGGCGGCAGCATAATAACAGTTCAGATTTTCTTCATGCTCATTATGGTTGTGGGCGAGTATATGTTTCTTCCTCAAGCGTGGCCAAAGATTGGATCTTTCACGAAACTCATTGTCGTGGTCACCGTGTTTCTACCCTACCTATTTCTCTACCTGGCATGTGCTGCTGATCCAGGCTACATCACACCTGAAAATCACGCCTATTACATGTCGCTCTATCCCTACGACCACACACTTTTCCACCCGGGGCACATGTGTCGTACGTGCAAGTTTCTTAAGCCTGCTCGTTCCAAGCACTGCAGCCTATGCAAACGTTGTGTTGCCAAGGCTGACCATCACTGCGTCTTCATAAACTCATGTGTTGGCTACGGAAACCAGCACTGGTTCATATTGCTACTGATCTCTACTGCATTTCTGTGCACATATGGTGGCTTTCTTGGATTGTCTATTATTACGGTACGAGTTCAGAGGTACGCCCCTGGCTGGTCTGTATGGAAACCTCGAGGTATGACAGTCAGTCAATATTTGGCTGGTTGGGGTTGGGGCATTCAAGACAACGTCAATATGGGGGCCTCATCCCTCCTTGCAGCTCTGACGTCTCCATTGGTTTGGGGGCTACTTCTATACACACTTTATCTCGTTTACTGTGGTACTACGACAAACGAAACCCTCAAATGGTCGGATTGGAAAGAAGATATGCGTGATGGTTTTGCATTTCGTCGCTCGATGCCAATAAATCGCCAGAAGAACGAACGAGCTGAGCCTCGCTTCACGCGCTGGCCAGTCGAGGTCCAACAGATTATCGTCACTACTCAGGATGGACAGCCCCCAAACGATGAGCTTCGATATCCTGGAGAAGGCGAATGGGAGAGAGTTTGGAACTTGAGCGATGTCGAGAACTTATACGACATGGGACTATGGGATAATTTGGTCGATATATTTGTCCGTGACTATGGATTTGGGAACAAAAATGACGAACCCAATGCCGAGAGATGGCGCAGGCGGTGATAATCTGTCTAGGAGAGGAAGAAAACTCGAGACCTTGATCCTAAATGACAAAAAGACTTAGGTAACTTTATATAAACTTAGAATATCTACACTAAGTTTAAAAAATATTTTACTGGGTTTATTTTGGCACCCTATATGAAGGTCTTGTGTTTTCTTGCTCCCCGAGGTCTGTATATAGAGCGAGTGAGCCGGACGCTGTAGTTAGGTGATCTGCAGGCTGACTGCAGGAGCCCAACCCGCTCTTTAGTACTCAACAGTCTTGATAGACTGCTGCAGCAGGGGAGGAAGCTCCTCCTGCTTGACAAGTCCCATGCGCACACAGTCGCCCCAGAAGAACATGACCCGATCCTGGGCGTAGCTCAAGTAATCGAACTCATCGGGGTTCAGCAGGTCTTCTTCCTTGATGGTTTCGTCGAGACCTGGGATCTTGGCCTGCACGATGCCCCACGCGATCCAGTGAGCATGATTGGCCGGGCGCCACTGTCGTGTCTCCTCCAACAACTCTCGCACGCGCTGGTCGCTCCGTTCGTCGTTGGCCCGTTCCGCGGCGCTCCATCCTCCAGGTGGTACTCGCGCATCAAGCATGAACTCGACGATGGAGCTTGAGCTGCTGGCAGGGGGGTTGGAAGGTGTCGCAAGTGGCGTAGACATACCGCTCGACACGTTGCTATCAGATGGCGCCAGTCGAGGGGTGGAGTTGCTGCCTTGGAACCGGGGACGGTGATCGACATATGCTTTGATGAAACGGCGCTGCTCATCCGGGGTGGGATATCGTCGCACATCGCACGCCCAGGGCACTGTAGCATCATGGTAGTTGTATGTCCATTCGTTGAAGTGGTTGGCAAACTCGAGACCACGGGTATTAGGGCCCGCATATTCAAAGTCAATGACGATGAGTTGCTTGTGTTTGTTCGCAGCCTGAAGCAGGGGTGACTTTTCGTCATCCGGGCGTATGCGGAGGATATTTCCATATTGCGTCTGGGAATTTGTTAATGAAGAACTTTAAGGCGTATTGTCATGAACTTACATCACTATGGGCAAAGACGAGACTGTCCTTGATCTCTCGTTGGCCTCCCTTGTAGAAACTGTTGAGATGGACTCTGTACTTGGTCATCATGTCCCTGAACTGAGGCCATGGAGTGCCACACACATAACCTCTCGACTTCCAGGCATGTACCACGGAGTCGCGCCGACCGTTTTGAGCTTGAGCTTCTTTCTCGTACTCATTATCAAGGTAAGTTGCGATTCGCTCGACATTATCGAGCCATTGATCCCAACTCTTCCAAGTTGCTGGTCCGCCCTCCCTCTCATGCGGGAGCAAATCAATACCATCGTGAAGCTCTCTCATTCGCTTGGCAATCTGACGGGACATGTCGGCATCTCGAAGGTCCGCCGGTGTAAGCGTAATAGAGTCAAAGTACTGCTCGAAACGACCATTCTTGAATGTCCCCAACAGGCGAGGACCGATCTTTTTGCGTGCCAGCCTCTGCAAGACTGACAGTTCGTTGTCTCGGTCAATGAGATGCTCGACCTGTGGTCCATAGATGCGTAGAAGAACCTTTTTGGGTTTTCTTTTGCCCTCGGCCTCATCGATTTCCTTCGGTGGCGTGACGACGTAGACAGCGTTAGTTAAGGCACCACTAAGCCTCTCAACGGAGATCTTATCGCCGCCACCGAGGGGAATACGCCTCCATCCCTTGAGTCGCAACGTATGGGCGATGCGGATGATTTCGTTCTTGAAGCTAAGCCAGCATTCCTTCTCCTTATCAGCCTTGGTATCGGCATCGGCTAGATCCTGCTCTTCATCATCCGCGGCTCCACCTCCGTAGCTCATCGTCTTAGAGTTGTCAAGCCAGACATCGCAGCTGGGTACAATGGCGTCCCCATCGGCATATTCAGTGTCGGAAGAAAGGCCACGAAGTGAGGACCGAGATGGGACCTTGCGGTGCTTAGGGCGGGACACTCTAGGGGTCAGATGAGGCAGAGAGTTGAGGCCCATGTGGGATAAGGATTCTTCCAGGATACGCTGAAGTCGATCAAAAGAGATATCGCTTGAGTCAGAGTCGAGAGAATCGGAGCGAGGTCGTCCATTACTGCCTTGTGCGGGTGCTTGAGCCGGTTGAGGTTCTGGCACAGCCTCCGCAACACTTTCTCCCTTCGTGTCCTTAGTTGGCGATTTGGACTTGCGCCTGCGGTGCGTTTTCTTTGACTTCCTCGCGAGTGCCTTGGCCCGTTCATGCTCTAACCAATCTCCGACCTGCGCGAGTAGTTTCTCACTATAATACTGACCACGGTGACCGTGGCTATGGCCATGGTGGTGAGAAGACGGGTTCGAAGTAGGCGGTGTCTCTTCAGGCCGGCTGCCAGAAGGACTGTCGCTAAAGGAAGACCTAGAGGAATTGTTGGGAAGAGGAGAGGGCAGAGGTTTACCACTCAGGCGTCGTCTCAGGTTGGTAGGGAATTGCTTGGTAGGCTGGGAGTCATCCTCGAGAGTTTGAATTTCGGATTCGGGCTCGGCAATCTGGACAGCTGTGGTATATAAGCATTGATTCATTTCGGTTGGAATTTCTGGTAACAAAACGCAAGAGTTGTATGGAGGACAAGATGCACAGCAGAGGAGATATATCCCGGCATGATCAGACATAATCGAGGGAGCGAAGCTACAATTTGTGTGTGTTCAGGTATAGCATTCTTGTATTTGAACCCACGTCACAGCTCGTGATGCACCCAGTGATTTCTCCCTCATCCGACATATATTTTGAGGACGTACCTTTGAGGGAGCCGCTCGAGGGACACGGGCGATCAACGTCATCTTCATTTTTGAGGGCAGAGCGCAATGGCTGCTGCTGGGCAGACAAGCCGTTGATCGTGGGGCTCGGCACCGCAGACATGGCGAGGGGAGGAGGTTTTGCTTTCTGAGGAGGAGTTTTGAGTTGTCCAAGAGAGTCACAAAATATATGATGAATATTTTGCGCAGTAGAGAAAGTGTAGTAGGGAAGTGAGGGTGAGTCGCGGTGTGAGAAGAGAGAAAGAGGGCCAAGGAGACGGGAGGAGAGTTGGTACCTAGGTAGAGAATTGAGGCGTAGGTACGGGTATGGATACAGATGCAAGATCCCCCTCTCTCCCAAAAGTAGAAAAGCGGCCCAAGGGTCACTGGCTCTGGGCTCTCGCTTGCGGCTGGGGTAGACGCAGAGGGGGTGCGCTTAGCAGAACAAGGGACTTGGGGTGTAGAAACGACTTATTGGTATTGGCTGGTTTGAGAGCTGAAGCGTTTGATTGAAGTTTAAAATGACATGGTTATCGTCAAACAAAAAGATAAAGGGTCTCTAGAGAATAGGTAAACTACTAATAAAGATAAGTGGTGAGTTGACAAGATAGAACTTGATAGAACCTCGAGATAAGAGAGTGATACCAATTATATAAGAGGAAGGTTCACCAAGGAAAATAGTCCACATGATCGATCTGGACCGTAAAATTAGACTGGCTCTCTTTTCCTTACACAACCCAAACGTCACAACATCAACTTTCAAGGAACAATAAAGGATTCACGTCCAAAAGAGGCGAATTCTTGACCACCAGATGCTGTTTGACTGGAGTTTACTCCAAAAAGCGTCACCGAAGAAAAACAGGAAACATCCAACGGATCCATGCCTGCACCTACAGTAAAAATCAACAGAGGCTGTTGGGAGGCGTTAAGAGGTTCCAGGCCCGGTCCTACAAGGGTGACGTAGTGTGGCACTAGGCCTTAAGGTGACCTCGGTGGCAGTTTTGGGAAGTGTCTCACATGCTCCCGCTTCACCGCCAAGACCTTTCAGGGTCGCTCTGACGATATTGATGCGAAATACGGAGTACTTTTCTTCCTTCCGTGCCGGTTGCTGGTCTGTTCGTATTCTCCGGAACTTTTCTTGCCGGCCCCGAACACTATTGGCCCACTCTCGGGCACCGAAGCCGTAGGGGGGCTACCCTCGGCATAACGTCGTCCTACCTCTTCCTCACTCCAGATTCTTAGGTAAGGTACTGAAGGTCGTGTGGTTGAGGTGGTTGTAGTACTGTTGTCAGGCAAACAGAGGCAAGAAAATTAAGAACCCTTTTCTAAGTACTTAATAAAAAGACCTCGGTAAGTATAATATATCTTAGCAGGCCTTTAGACTAGTGTATCTTGAGACCCTGATTTAACATCAGAACTTTTCTTGCTCCCTGAGTTCAAGTGGCACATCTCACCCATCAAAGTGTCCCCACGCTCCAGATTCAACATTATATCTTCAACGAGGTGGGACGAGACAGCCTCGTTCTGACAAGTTACACAGTTTGTGCTCGTACATGGTGTAATACTTGCTCATATAGCCTCCGGTGTACCCGCGTAGGACTGGACGACTCACAAGTATCACAATTCTTGACCTTTCACCTCTCGGCAGGTATACAATTCTTTAGCTACCTAATGAAACAAGACTTAGTAATACAAAGCACGCCTCGGGGAGCAAGAAAACACCGGACCTTGATATATGTTATCAAGATAAACTCAGCAAAAGGTATCCTAAACTTAGGCTAAAGTTATGCTAATTTACCGAAGTCTTTTTATCATTTAGGATCAAGGTCCTGAGTTTTCTTTCCTCCCCTAGGCACGATAACTATGCCAGACCTCATAACGTTTCCATCTACAAGCGTCCAATTTGGTAAGCTTACAACTCGAACGTGCCCAGACTGTCCTTCTCATCAAAATTCGTCCTTGAGCCTTCTTAACGCAGCCAGCTGTTGTCCCATCTCTGCAAGATATTGCTCCACAGCTCTCTGCTTCTCTTGCATCAAGGTTTCGACAGTCTCTGTGATAAACTTAACCCACTCTGTGCCTAACCACCTTTTCGTATTCCAGAGACATTCATCGTCTAGGTGTGTCAGTTTGTACCGGACCCAATGATCTTCTAAATCGCCCTTGTCATCATAGGGACTCAACTTGCTGAACTGTTGCCAGATCTCGATAACTCGGCGTGCCTCATCTTCCT